GACATTTCTTCCTAGGGTCTAGTGTTTTCCCTGTAAACCTAATTTGCATGGAAGGTGCACCTGTCAGAGGTTTGTCTCATGGGTGTTCCTTCCCTGAAGCAGGGAATCTCCTGCCTTCCTCCATCCCCTCCCTGCAGGAAATAGCAGATACAAAATGAAAGGAGTTCATCCCAGGCTCTTACACTATTCATTACCTTGTTGAAAACATTCAGAATGTTTGAGTAAAGCTTGTAAATGATGAGGAATCCTGAAAAGTGAGAAGGAACACGGCATCCTGCCTTTCCAAGGGGAACCTGGGCTGCTGAGAGTCCCTGCCATGGTGTAAGAGCTGTTAGAAGGAATGAGAGTAGAACCCACTCCCCTTTCCCTGGAAGTTGCTCCTGGGATTACAGGTTCTGGCAGCAAGCTGGCTAAAGTATGGTGTGGTAATGCTGCTGGTAGATTTTGGGGAACAAATGCTTCTTCAACCAGGACCTGGCTCATGAACAAACTGTCTGCATCTTCCAACAGCTTTGCTACAGCAGCAGGAGTTCCTTTTACAGCTGAGAACAGCAACCTGAACTGAACAGCCCCAGCAGAGCTGCAAATCCCCTCTGTCCATCCCCAGTGTATCACCTTTCTATTGAAATGAGCTTTGTGTGCACTCTGCCCAGGTTGGCATCCCTCTGCTCCTGGTAGGAAAAGGATACTTCAAATAATCTGCATGAGTTTCACAGAGGAGTTTTGGAAACTCCTTTTCTCACTTAGCAAGAAAAATTCTTGGTTTTGCTTTAAAATAGTAGCTTTTTTCAAGCTCATTTTGGAAGTGACTGGGTTTCTCTTGGTGGATAGAATTTAAACATTGATAAACAGTGAAAATTTTAGATGGTCTGTTTGCCAGAATGTCCAGGAAGAATTCAAATTTATCAGGACTAGAAGTATTGGGCTAAAAGAAGTAAAGGGGTGACAACCTTTCTCAAAAGGTTCTCTAAATTCAGTGTCTGATGTGCTGAGGCCTGAGCAGCAAGCCTGAGCCAGAGCTGACTTACAAGATGAATCCTGGAGTCATCAAGCCCATCAGTATTTAGCTAAAAATAGACTAGAAAGACACTTATGCTAGCTCTGCATAACCTCATGAAGTTATCTGCAAGAAACGTATCACTTTAGGAAACTTTCCCAACTGACATGGATACAGGCTTCTGTAGGGTATTTTAGGGGAAACTCCTCCCAGCCCAGGCCTGAGCTCTGGCCAAGGCCTGGCCCTGGCTGGTGGGGAAGTGTGCCATCAGATCCAGCAGTAGCTGTGCTAATGATGCAATCAGGTCACTTTGCCCTTCTCGCAGCTGTTGCAGCACGGGCACCTCAGGCAGGCCTGCAACACACACACAGAGCTGAGAGGGGCCCTGCAGCTGCTGTGCTTTGGCAGGGCAGTCATTCATCCCCTCAACACAAGGGCAGTGGATTTCAACTGCAAAGCCTCTCTTTGCAATGGGATTGCTTTTGCCCGGCAGCCTCCATGGGCAAGGGCTTTGTGGGAGAAGGGGCCATCTCAGCCTGTGTCCTGGAAACAGAGCCAGGAAAATGAGCAGATCCTGCTGCCTTCTGCTACTGCTGATCCTAGCAGCAACTCCCTGTCACTTCCTCCAGGGAACTTCACACAAAGGGCTTCCATCATTTCAGCACTTGTGAGATCTTCTTGATTCCCAGTTCTCCAGCCTCCTTCTGGATTTTGGGGCATCTCAGCACTTGTGTCCATGGCCCTTCCTTCATGCCCAGCCTGCAGCAGTCACAGTCACTGCTGCCTCCCCCTTGCTGCAGCTCATTTGCCAAAGTGCTGCCAAAGGCAGTGGAGCCGGCTCAGGATCCCTGCTGGCTTTTGGTCAGGGATGAGCTCCAGAGGAACACTTGGAGCGCTTCCTAAAGAGCTGCCCATGGGATGGGGGGCGGATTTGTCCTCCCCGGGTGGCTCCTGCTTGGATGCTGCGCTCAGTGGAGTCCGGGAGTTTTCTCAGCAGGCCTCTGCAGCGAGTTCTGAGCCAACGGGGGGCTCTGCTGCCAGCCCAAATCTGCGCTTCCCTTGCCCAGCCTGAGTGCAGGTGGGGCATGTGCTGGGCATGGCTGGAGATTTGCATGGCCAAAATCCTCCAGCATTTACATCTGCTCATGGCTTTGGGGAGCACAAATCACAGAACACCCATCGCAGCTGACAAATGGCATTTCTTGCAGATTGCCACAGCCGCACTGCTGATCAACAAATACACGAGAATCAATTTCAGTTGAAAAATGACATTTATTACAAATTGCTACACCCACATTGACAATACAGAACAAGACAAATCTCAACTTGGTTAAAACCAGGAATTCATTAGATTATTACAGCCAGTCTAGTTAAAAATATAAAAATACAACTTCAGTTAAAAAAAACCAAACTTATAGCCAACCTCTACAACAACTCCCTAGACACAAAGATCAATTAGGTATTTAACAACTTAATTTGTTACATACTACTACAAGCATACAGCCCATATAGAAATACAAAAATATGCATTCTCTCTCTAAGTAATCCTGTACCAACAACTCAGAGAATTATAGATAGAACCAATAGAATTATACAACTACAACACTCCATACATGTTGAAACAGAACTAAAACCATATGTAGACACAAATATATATAAATACATATATAACAATCTACAGATGCAAATATAGATTAAATATTACAGATAACATACAACATGTATATAAACAGAAATATAAGACAAACTTATCTATAAATACAAAAAAATGTGCCAAGCTAAATATCCATACAAATGCATCAATACAAATATACAGCTGTACATCTCAATATATATGTAAATATAATTACATATATAAATAGGTCAATATACATATAACAATATAAAAATAGACATATATACCAACACTAATAGCAATATCCCTCTTTAAAAAGACATATACAAAAAACTCCATCAATACAAATAGATACCTACACAACTGTATACAAATGGAAATCTAAACACAAAAAGATATTACAACATACATAAGAAGCTAGATACACCTACACACAAATATGTAACTGCAAACGTGTATGTATATATTTGTACATATATACATAGCACATTTATAAATATAATAAGTATTGTATTTCTAGAAATATAGTAAGTATCATATGTATAGAAATATACCAATACAAATAGCAAGATATGTACAGATTGATGTAATTATCACTGCCTGTGTGCAAGTCCATAGAAGTCCAAGCAGAGGGATCCCAGCTGCCCCATCTTCAAAGCCTCTCCCTCAGTCTCCTCCTCCCGTGCAGAGCAGCTCTCCTGGACAGCGACAGCAGATGGGACATCTGGCAAGCAAAGGGAACACGGAGTGAGTATGGGGACGTTTCCCTTGGCAGCAGCTGCACTTGCATCAGGGAAGAGGAAATGTCAGAGCCTCCCCAGGGGGGTCAGAAAGAGAAAGCAGCCGAGCGGGCCAGGCTGGGGTGAGCGCAGCCGCGGCGGGACTGTCCCGCAGCCCCGGCAGCCCGGCAGAGCCGGCACAGCTCCCGGGCCCTGCTGGCACAGCTGCCTTGCACAAGTGTTATAATTTGTGGTGAGGAACCAATCACCAACAAGTGAGTCCAAATGAAATGTAATTTATTAATTGACAGTGCAAGCAATAATAGGCAAATTACAGCGCTGGGTGCAGCCGGGCAGTCTCCGCTCCACCAACGGCTCGCACCCACCTGGCGGTTCAGGCCTCTCTTTGATCTATCGTGGTTGCGTATTTTCCAGTGTTTTCTGTGTCTGCGCCGATAGTTGCTAGGGGGTCTTTTTCTGCCTTTTGGTGGTCGTTTGGAGGAAGGCTCCCATCCTCTCTCTCAGAGTTTTGATGACCCTGCAATAGCCTTTACCATATATAGGCATGTGGCTGCATACATATTGCATATTCAGCTTTTCAACATATTAGCTTGTGACATATTGCAGTTTAAGCCTTATGACATTTTGCAACATATTAGCCCATTATATTTGTTTATCTTTTGGTTTTTCATCAGCTTCCCTTTTTTTTTTTTTTTTTTAATAGACTTGATGAACAAACTTGAGAAATTAACCCATTACAATGCCCCCCTTTTTTTTGACTATTTTGTTCATCAAATCGTTTCAACTCACATTGACTCAAGGTGGCCTCCTCCCCCAGTTCAGGATCCTCTGTTACAGGTTCATATTTGGTTCTAATCAGAAGCAGATGGGCTGCCTCCAGCCTTCCTTTTACTATTTCAATCATTTTATTGAATATACAAGGCCCAAAAGTCAGCCCAAGGATTAATAGAATTACTGGTCCTCCTATTGTGGAGAGTAGGGTGGTTTGATAGGTTTAAGTGGGCCTCACTTAACTCTGCTGACTTTAAGAAATGTTCTATCTACTCAAATTAGCGTCCATGTGAATGGCTAATGTCCCCCTGCATCTCTAGTGACTTATCCCAATGCCCACATCGATCTTAAATAGATCTGCCAAAAAAGGGTGCAGTCCTACTCTAAAATTTCACATGTGTATTTTCCTGGGGAGCTGCCCTTTGGATACCCTGGAGTGTGTTATTTTTCCAGGGAACTTAATGTTTGAGAGGCAGTTGTTGGAACTTCTCTAAGCGCATCCCACTCTGGGTTGCAGGTCCCTTTGCCTTTTCCTCTCTGCCTCTCCCGTCAATCCAGTTGCACGGGGTTAACCATCTTCTCGGCAGCACAGGTATTTGCTTAGGGATCCTTTTTGTTCCTGCCTTACTCAATATGGTTCCCAATTCTTTATCAAAGGAGAGCTGCAATCGATACCAAGCAGCCATCTCCGGCGGTATCCTTTTATGATTTGGGCTACAAAGGGAGTGGGTTCATTGGTATGAGAACAATGTGTCTCTGGATTTATACCCTTAGTAAAGATTCCCCACCACTCTTGAGATTCATATTTTACCTATTTTCCCGAAAGCTCCCCTAATCTTAGAACGGTTTCTGTGAATTCCGGCGGCAATGGACCCACCACCGTTCTTGGCAAATCCTGCAGACAAGACATACAAAGAGATAACATTCACACCCCTTAGTCCCACAATATACAGTGTAATCTTTGGGTAGTGCGTACTAGCATCCATGGCTTTTTGTCTTTTTTTGGGAGTAAACCCGTAGGCGACGTTGACGCCAATATTCATTCTCAGCATGCCACTTGATACTAAGTACAGAATGAGGATAAGGCACAAATACATTTTTGTCACACTCAAAAGTGATTATGCGCGATTTCTTACAATAAGCCAAAAGAGTAATATATGTGCAGATTTCGTTAGCGCTAATTGACTGGTAAGCTTGTTCTCTATTCTCGAATAATTGGTATATGTTTTGAACAGGACTGGGCCACCAATAAATGCTTCCAATTGTCTTTTCCAATTAGAATTTCTCCGATGTTCATGATAACATTCTGCACATAAATCATAAAATAGGCGTCTAGCATAAATCCATTTTAATGCTTTACATTTACCACATTCAAGCAACACCCAAGGGATACAAAAGGTACATTTAGTACATCTTAAACATTTAAATGTTTGAAATTTTTCTGCAAAAAGTAGGCTGATTCTATGTCTTGAAAAGTTACTGCAAAAGTTACTGTCTAAGAACAGTATATCTATACACCATTGGAGGATTCGATCTTCCAGGAGGTTCCAATGAAACTCCTCCCTTTTACGCACCTCCGGACATAACGCAGTATCAAGTTGGGCAGGTTGCCACATCGGCAGCTCCATTTATCTATACAATTGTTTTCTTTAAAATTTTCAAAATACATTTTCCTAATGTTCAAAGTTCACGCAGTAACTGAAAAGGCAGTATAGTAGATGTGCCAAGCCAAATTGGCCAAAATTTGTCCCAACACATCCACCACGCTGGTTTCTCCTTCGCAGTTCCTGCTGGGAAGAACAAAAAAGTCCTCTTGATCTAGGTGAGGAGTGTTCTGATGGTAATGTTTCCTGGGGTTAATTATTTGTCATTACTGGTCTCTTTTAAGCTTAACCTTTAGTTTCTCGTGTTGGCTTGCCACTTTCCATGTACGTTCAGGTTTGACTGGTCCCTTCACTCGACTAGCATGTGTCCATCCTTTCTCAGCTGTTCGGATGGCAGTTTCTGCGGTAAGCAATACCACATATGGGCCTTCCCAACGAGGTGTCAAGGAGGCTTCTTTCCAAGTCTTAATCAATACTCTATCCCCAGGTTTGATTTGGTGGATGGTGACATCTAAGGGAGGTCTCTGTACCAGTAATCCTTTATCACGGAGCTCCCTTGCCTATTCATCAGTTGGGTCAGATATTGGTTTATCTGTATATTCTCTAGGTGTGGATGATCTACCGGTGCCTCCATGTCATATGGCACTCCGTATGGCATCTCAAATGGGGAAATTCCCACGTCTGTCCGTGGTTGAGTACGGATGTTTAGTAGAGCCAGTGGTAAACATTTGAGCAAGGACATTTTTGTTTCTATCATTAATTTGGTTAATTGCTTCTTTATTTCTCCATTCATTCTCTCTACTCTGCTCGAACTCTGAGGGTGCCATGGGGTGTGATATTGCCACTGTGTTCCTAAAGCAGTAAAAACTTCCTTTGCTACCTTAGAAGCAAAATGGGGGCCTCTGTCAGAGTCTGTTACTTCTATTAACCCATATCTGGGGATGATTTCTTCAAGTATTGCTTTAACCACCACATGAGTTGTTGCCCAAGCAGTGGGAAAGGCATCCACAAAGTGGGTCAGGTGATCTACCAGGACCAATAGATATTTATATCGCCCAACTTTAGATAATTCTATAAAATCTATCTGTACATGGGAGAACAGTCTATGGGCCAACTCCCTGCCTCCCATTATCCGGGATTTCTGGTGCTGTTTGTTAACCTTCTGACAGGTGAGGCACCGGTGAGTGACCTGCTTTGCTGAATGATGTAACCCAATACCCATGTATTTTATAGCAAACTGATCAATTAATGCTTGTGTGCCCTAATGGGTTTTCACGTGAATTGCCTGGAGGATTCTTAAGGCTAAGGCCTTTGGGACCATCTCCCTCCCATCTTGTAATAACCAACTCCCCTCTTTTTCTCGTAATCCCATCTGCATTAACTTCTCCTGTTCCTTTGCAGAGAAAGTTAGAATGTATTTTGGGCCATGAAACCAACAATTGATTTTCTCTGGGTTGTCACAAGAACACCTGATAGCCTCGGTCCCAAATGTCTTCCAGCAAGCATAACAGGGGGCCTCCTCCAAATCTCTACCACAAGTAGTACAATTTTCTCTAGCATTTACAGTATTACTATCCGGTTCCTGGAGTACCATCAAAGCTGCTCTTTTAGCTTCCTGATCCGCTAAATTGTTTCCCCTGGTAGTGGCCCCAATTCCTGCCTGGTGACCCTTAACATGTACAACCGCTATCTCCGTAGGGCCTCTTATAGCTTTAAGGATTCTTCAAATTAGTTCCTCATGAATTAACCCCTTGCCTTGGGAATTAATTAATCCCCTTTCGTCCCAAATCTTTCCAAAAGCGTGCCCGATGCCGAACGCATATTTGGAATCTGTATAGATAGTTCCAGCTCTGCCCTTGAGCTGTTCCAAGGCTCATAGGACAGCGTAGAGTTCGCGTGCCTGGGCCGACCAACTAGGGCTCAAGGGTCCTGATTCTACCACCAAAGAGGTCTTACCATCCACTATTGCATACCCTGACCTTCTCTTTCCCTCTACTACTCGGGAGGACCCATCCACAAACAGCCTATCTCCTGTTTCTAGCTCCTCTTCCTCTAGGTCAGGGCAAATTTTGGTTTGTTCCTCAATGTTTTGTAGACAGTCGTGAGTGAGTTCTTCTTCAGGTTCCCCATAAAGGAACTGGGCTGGCTTCTGAAGGGATGTAGTACCGAGTTGTAATTTTGGGGATGCTATCAATATCCCTTCATATTTCAGGAGCCTCGCATCTGTGATCCACTTTTCAGCCTTTTGTTGTAAAACTCCTCTAATATTATGTGGAGATAGTACGTGTAGCTCTGCTCCAAAGGTAACCTTGCTGGCTTCTTCTGCCAACAGCGCTGCTGCCACTATTACTTGGAGACAAGTTGGCCATCCCCGACTAACGGGCTCCAATAATTTGGAAAGATATGCCACAGGCTTCTTGCTCCCTGCCCAATTCTGTGCCAGTACTCCATATGCAGTACCTTTATCTATACTGGCAAACAGGTAAAAAGGCTTTCTAAGGTCGAGGAGGCTGAGGACCGGAGCGTTTACCAGCTCTGTCTTCAGTGCATCCAGTCGTTCCTCATCTTCCTTAGACCACTTAACCAGACCTTCCTTTGTGAGCTTATCATACAGGAATTTGTTTTCCTCTAAAGTTTTCAATCCACTGCCTGCAATATCCAAAGAGCCCCAAGAGTTGTCTAACTTGCCTTTTACTCCTTGGGGCGGGAAGGGAGAGTATACCTTGGACCCCACCAGGATCCAACTTCTTGGTTCCCTCGGTCAGCCTGTGTCCTAAATATTTTACCTCTTTTGCTACAAACTGCAATTTAGATTTAGAAACTTTTAGCCCTTTAAGACTGAGAAAGTTTAGTAACTTTATACTGCCCCTTCTAACTGATTCTTCCTCTTCTCCCGCTATCAGCAAATCGTCCACATATTGAATTAAGGTGGTCCCTTCCTCGGGGTGATATTCCTGCAAGATCTGTTCTAATGCTTGACCAAACAGATTAGGGGATTCTGTAAATCCCTGGGGCAAATAGAGCCCCTGACACCCCTAGTCCTGAAACTGTCTCTCATCCATTTGCCTTTTTCAACATTCCCGTCGCATGTGTCCTTTCTTCCCGCAATAATAACAAACAACCCCGCCCCCCCTTTTCTTTTTCTGGCTCTCTCTTTTGCATACTGGGGACTCTCTGTCTCATTTGTCCCCCCTTTTGACCTTCTTGTACTGCTGCTACCATTATCCTCATCTGCTTTCTGTGACTTTCATCTTCTCTTCTAATATATACCTTCTCAGCCTCCCTTAACAACTCATCTAAGCCTCTGTCCTGCCAATTCTCCATTTTCTCCAACTTTCTTCTAATAACAATCCACGCCTTGGCTACAAATTGCGTTTTCAGTAAGGCTTGCCCAACTTCTGAATCGGGATCTACTCCTGAATATAGCCAGAAACATTTTTGTAATCGCTCCAGCCATTCAGTGGGATGCTCATCCTTCTTTTGTTGTTCACTAAATGCTTTACTTACATTCCTCCCTCGAGGGATGGATTCCTTTATCCCTTGAATGACAATCGCCCTTAAATCACTCATATGGATTCTATGTTCGGGATTCTGATTGTCCCAGTGGGGACGCTGGAGTGGCCATTTCACATCTCCCTGTGGCCCCTGTTGATGATCCCGGTCCCAAACTCTCATCCCAGCAGCTCTTATCATTCCCCGTTCATCAAGTGTGAACAGAATTCCTAATATAGATTGTAATTCATCCCAGGTATATATATTGGGTCCCAAAAATTGATCCACCCTTTCTTCTACCCCCAGCAGGTCTTCCAAGAGGTGCCCCATTTCTTTCTTAAATTCCCTGACGTCCCCTGAATTCAAAGGAGCCATCACATATCCTACCCCTGGAATTTGAGCAGGCTGACCTGGTTGTCCTGCATTAGGGTTTGGAATCATGCCCATTCCTACTTCCCTTAATGGAAGTAGAGGGGCCTCGCCTGCCTCTTGCCGAGACCGACTTCTAGTTATTCTCCTGTGTTCCTGGAGGGGATCAGGTTCTGACTTGAAATTGTCTATTTCTTGAATAGGGGGTATGGGAGGTAGTGACGGGGGACAAGGAGGAGGAGGGGGTGCATTGGGAATTTGTAGAGGGGGTAAATAAGGTGGGGGAGATGGATCAGGCGCTTCCCAAGTATCCCCTGGTCTCCTTTTCTTCTTTCTAGATTTTAATACAAATAGGGAAGAACTAGTCTCACCAATGATCCACAGGGCTGCATATTCACTTTCTTCCACACTAAATGGTTCCTTTGAATTAACATATGTGTTCAGAGCCTGACAAATCCAATCCTCAAATGCTCCAAACACGGGCCAGTAAAGGCTACCTGCCCTGATGTGTTTCCCTCCACAAACCTCCATGCAATAATGGATCATCTTAGCCCGGTCCTTCCCTTTTCTGGAGGGAT